TTATTGAATGGAAAACCGACTTGCTCCATAAATATTCATACAAATCACAATGATAAAAGTTAAAAAAGAAAAGAAAGGGGCTCTCTGATTTTCACATAAAAATGTTTTAATTGGTACTAAGTCATGGTGGTGTGTTGTTACTGTACGTGATTTCATGCCTCAGTTCTTTGCGGAAAAAAACTGAGGAAATGTTTTCTTTAAATCCTAGAGTGTTGTCTTTTGCCTGGGTTTCTATACCACGGGGTTTGTTATTTTTGTCCATTCTGCTTGGCATTTCCTGGGTAAGCTGTAAATGATTTGTAATTTGATCAATTTTTGTCTGGCCATAGCCTGCAGCCTGCTCTATGATGGCCATGCACCTTGCAGGAATTGGTCAATAGATTTGTGCAGATCAGCACAGCATATTATGTAAATGAGTACCTATAGCCTACTGAGAAAGGATTGGTCCATTTGTGACCCTGCGTGAGAGCCAAGACTGGAAATTGATGCGGAGTTTGCGTATATATGCAGCCATCCCCCAAATGATAGGAAGGAAAGGAAGAAAGAGGAGAGAAGAGAAAAGCACAGGGAGACCAGGAAAAGAACTTCTTCAAAGAGCTGTAACACAAGTCAAGGGATATATGCCAAAGACAGTAAGCAGTACTTCTTACACTTGGGAAGGCTAAAAATATGGTTCATTAAAATAGAAATCTTCTAGAAAACCTAAAATGTATTTCACAACCTGTTCTCATTTTTATTTTATTTTTGATGGGCAGGAACAAGGAAAAACTTTTACCACTTTCTGTTATGTTGCTAGCAAACGAAACTGCTTTTTGCTAATATATATATGAGAGGGTATGTTATAAGACCAAGAGACAGGAAGAAGGAAGATGTGGTGTGCTATTGAGGGATTAGTCACCAAACACCAGCCAAACATTGTCTGATACAGTGCTGTAACCTGAGCCCCTCAGGTGAGAGGGCACTGAAGACACATGACAGCAGAAGTGCTTTCTAAAACAAGAGTCCATCTTAATGATATGAATGAAGCAAAGATATCAGGACCTTCACTCTCTGATGACATATGACTCAGAATGAGAGAAAAAAAGGTGCAAACATCAGTCAACATGGAATGTATGAAGTATGAAACTATAAAAAATCAGAAATCAAAAATAGAATGAAATGAAACACATGAATATTGATAACTTAAGCATTGGCAAGTGGAAATGGACTGGAATTGACCATTTCTAGTGGGACAATCAAAGTTTTTACTATGATGGGAATGAAAAACAGGTTTAAATGTCACATTCACCATCAAAATAAATATTTTAAGATCTGTCTTGAAACACAATGCTGTCTATAATAGGGTACTGTGTATATGACTACCACAAAAAATAGTCATGACAATTATTCAAATTATGTACAAACCACTAAAAGTAATGAGGAAATTAAAGATTTCTATTATACTCTTCCATCTGAAATTGATCAAACATACAATGAAAATATATTGATATTTAATGGGACTAGGACTGTAAAAGTTGGAAACAAAGAGGAATGCTCAACAGTTGAACAATATGGTCATGGTGATAGTAATTAAGCTTGATGATGTATGATAGAATTTTGAAAGATCAATGGCTTTTTCATTGCAAACACTCTTTTTTAATAATACATACATGGACCTCACCAAATGGAATACACAGGAATTAATTTGGCTACAACTATGGAAAGAGATCATGGAAAAGCTCAATATCATCAGTAAAGCCAAGGGGGTAGTGTGATATAGGCCATCATTTGCTTACATGTGAATTCAGGTTGAAGCTGAAGGAAATTAACATAAGTCCATGGAAGAAAAATAAAGGCATGAATATATGCTACTTGATTTTAGAGCACATCTCAAGAAGAGATTTAGCACATTGAACTAATGACCAAAGACAGAGTTGTGAGAGGAAATCAATAACATCATCCATAAAAAAACAAACTCACTGCCATCAAGTTTGCCTATTCCTAGTAGCCATAGAGGCCAGGTTAGAACTGTCTCTGTGAGTTTCAAAGACTGCAACTTTGTATGGAGGTAGAAAGCCCCATTTGTCTCTTGTGGAGCGGCTGGTGGTTTTGAACCACTGACCTTTTGGTTAGCAGTCCAATGAGTCACCACTACGTCATGAGGGTTCCTTAAAGAAAACAAACGGTTAGTAAAAATGCCGAAATTTTTTTTAATGGATATAAAATGTACTCTAAAACATGCATATGAAAGAATAACTAAAGAAAATGGAAGAAAGGAGAAAGTAAAATATAATGTGCAAAGAACTTGAGCTAGAAAACCACAGGGAAAAACATGATCAGTATTTCTCAAGCTGAAAGAAATGAAGAAAAAATTCACGACAAAATTGAAATATTGAAGGATTCTATGGAAAAATACAATGCTGGAATATAAAAAGAGAGAATACATAGTCATGGTACCCAAAAAAGCAGTAAATGGTCAACCATTGGAAGGAGCAAGTGATCACAATGGATGATATTGAAGGAAGTAGTCCAAGCTCCACTAATATTAAAAAAAAAGAAACAAAACTATAGATGTTGAAGGAATATAAGTTTAAATGTTTGAATAAACTGATAAAACACTGGAAGCACTCACTCATCCATGCCAAGAAATTTGGAACACAGCTATCTAGCCAAGTGACTGGAAGGGATCCATATTTGTGTCCTTTCCGAAGAAAGGTGGCCCAACAGATTGCAGAAATTATCAAATAATGTCATTAATGCCAGATGCAAGTAAAATGTGGCTGAAGATCATTCAAAGACTGTTGCAGCAGTAGGCCCACAGGAAGCCGCCAAAAATTCAGGTCAGGTTCACAAGAGAACATAGAGTGAGATATGTCATGACTAATGTCAGAGGGATCTTAGCTGAAAGCAGAATATACAAAGAAGATGTTACCTTGTGTTTGACTATGTAAACGCATTTGGCTGTGTGGATAACAAACTATGGGTAACATTGAGAAGAATGGGAATTCCAGAACACGTTGTTGTGCCCTTGTGGAACATGCACATGGGCCAAGAGGCAGTCGTATGAACAGAACAAGGGGACACTGCAAACAAGGGGACACTGCATAGTTTAGACTTTAGAAAGGCATGTGTCAAGCTTGTATTTCTTCCCAACACTTATTATCTCTATATGTGAGCAAATAATCTGAGAACTTGGACTGTATGAAGAATAATGTAGCATCATGATTGGAGGAAGGCTCAATTACAACCTGTGATATGCAAACGACACAACCTTGCAATTAGAATGAAAAGGACTTGAAGAATTTACTGAGGAAGATCAAGATACTGCAGCCTTCAGTTGGTTTACAACTCTGTAAAAAACAAAAATCCAAGGGCTCAAGCAGAAAGCATATGTTTTGAGAATGATGATGGCAACATATGTACAAATGTGTTTGACACAATGGATGGATGTATGGATTGTGATAAGAGTTGTATGATCCCCCAATAAAATGATTTTTAAAACCCACAAAAATCTGCACACCGAGATCAATCAGTAGTTTCTTGTTAAATGAAGAAGAGATCGAAGTTGTCAAGGATTTCATTTCACTTGGATCCACAGTCAGTGCTCCTAGAAGAAGCAGACAAGAAAATCAAACTATGATGCATTGTGCTGAGTATATCTACACAGGATTTTAAAGTGTTGAAGACGAAGGATGTCACTTTGAGGGTTAAAATGTGCCTGACCACGGTCTTATCAATTGCTTGATATACATGTGAAAGTTGGAAAGCTAATACGGAAAAGTGGAGAAGAATCTGTCCTTTTGAGTTACAGTACTAGCAACTCCTAAAACTCCACTGCCATGGAGTTGATTGTGCCTCATGGCAACTCTACACAGCGTTTCAGAGACTGTCCATCTGTATGGAAATAAACAGCCTCTTCTTTCTTCCATTCAGCCACTTGTGAGTTTCTGCCACTGACTGTGTGGTCAGCAGTGGTGTTAGCAAAGAATACTGAAATCACCCTGGACTTCCAGAACACACACATCTGTCTTGGAGGAAGTATATCCATAATACTTCTTAGAAGCAAAGGTGATAAAACTTCATTTCACTTACTTTGGACCTAGAAGAAAGGGCAAGTCCCTTGAAAAGGAATTCATGTATGAGTGAGTAAAGGCTCTGTGAAGAAGAGGAAGACCCTCAACAAGAAGAAGGTCCTTAATCTAGAGGAAGCCCTTTAACCTAGAGGCAGCGACAATGGAATCAAGCACAATTGTGCAAAATGTGCAGACTGGAAGTGTTTCCTTCTGTTGTGTGCAGCGGTACTTATCTGATGGTCCCAAACAACAACGATGATATATTTTACTTGGGAAAAATAAAACTTCAGATAGAAACAATTTTTTTTCTATTTTCAATTTAAAAAATACATTCTTAGACCTCCTTAGCATTGAGATTCTGAAATCCATTTGATTTCTCTCTATGAGATTCAATTGCATGATTCAATTGCATGATATTTGGAAGGTGGAATGGTGAGGTGGTGGGGATTTCACTTATTCATTTATTTTGAAATTGTATAATGACTTTTTAACCTGGGAGGCATTAGTGTTTATACCGTCTAGTCATCAGCTTCATAATTATGGGCAACTAAGATATCAACCAGAAATCGGTAGAGCAAATTACAGAGATCTGAATCTCCAACACCTACATTAGTTTTGGGTGTGCATAATTCCCTATATTAAAACTATTTCTAATAAAAATGCGTCAGATTTTCTTTCCCATATTAAACCCAAAATACCAGTATCAAAAAGCTCTTTTAATATAAACGGCTTGGTATTAACTTGGCCTACCACCAACTTCTCAGAAAAAAAAAATTCTCAGCACCCCTCCTTGCAGTTAAAAATTGTTTTAGCCCCCGTAGATCATTCCAGTGTCCCCAGTGGGGGGGTACAACCCACTTTGGCAAACACTGCTCTAGAAAAATGATAATGATGATCAATAATATCATGTGTTTGTCATTAAAACCACTGCTTTCTCTTCTTGGGCAGATGGCAGAATTTTGTTGAGCTGTTGAGCAAAGCTTCCTCTGAGATGTCTTCTGATTTACCTAGAGGTGAGTTGAGTTAGTTCGTTGATTTAGGCAATGTTACAAGACCCAGAAAAGTGCTAACAAAGAAACCTTTTGATTACACTGCATACTCCTAGTCAGACTCCTGTTTCCTAGGGCTGTTTTGGTCCCGCTCCATAGCTTGAGTAGTTTGCTTGTAAGAGTCCATGCAATTCTTTCCTTATATGTAAACGGATCACCAGCAAAGAAGAAAAAGTAGAAGTGAATTGTTTTAATGGGCAAAATTTTAGGCCGGTGGGATCAGCTTTGTTATTGTTAGTTACCATGCACTCAGTTTTGACTCATGGTGGTCCCATGTGTTACAACATGGACCTGCCCTCCAGACTTTTCTTGGCTATTATATTAATGGACTTTTCTTGGCTATGATATTAATGGACGTAGACTACCAAGCCTAAGTAGTGCTGACTGGACTCTAACAGCCAACATTTAGGTTAGCAGTAAAATAAATTTTCTGTGCTACTTAGAGACCTCAATTGGGCCATGAAAGTTTACTTGTCCAAATTCTGTTTTATCATGTTGTGTTCCTCACAGTCGTCCTTTAAGACTAAGGCAGTCCACGTATAGAAGAAGTTGCTGGTATTGTTTGTTAGAATCTCAGTTGCATAGTTCCTTGTTGTTAGGTCCAGTTCCAAGCCACAGCAGCCCTACGTACAATAAAAGGAAACACTGCCAGACCCTAAGACATCTTCACAAATTTCTTTGTGTTTGAGCCCATTGTTGCAGCCATTGTCAATTCACCTTATTGAGAGTATTTCTCTCTCTCTCTCTCTCTCTCTCTCTCTCTCTCTCTCTCTCTCTCTCTGTTTCTTGCCCCTCTACTTTACTAAGTATGATGTCCTTAGGACCAAGCATGATGTCCTTTTCTAGGGACTGCTCTCTCATAATAACAGGTCCAAACTAGATGAGATGAATTCTTGCCACCTGCACCTTCAAGGAACATTCTGACTGTCCTTCTTCCAAGGGAGATATGTTTGTTCTTTTTTCAGTCCAGGGTACATGGCCCAGAGAACCTTAGATTAAGGAATATCACCCCTAGGTACTTATCCGAGTGATAACTCATACAAACCCCCAAGCAAACAAAAACTTCAAAGACTGTAAGTAAGTATATCTAGTGCAGCTTCCCCCCATTCCCTCTCCTCCCCACCTCTTTAAATGTTTTTGGAAGTTTTCAAAAATTGAAATAATGACAGAGTTCTTCAGAACTCACTCAATTAATTTACAGTACAACCTGTTGTTCAAGTTCTATGAAGCTGTAAAACATAACGTGGATGGACTGATACAGGAAGATTTCCAAGGCATATTATTTAGTGGAAGTATAAAAATGAATTGGGCAAAATATTTAGTAATTAGCACATTTAAAATATGACAGGTGAAAAATTATGCATTGATATTAATCTGCTGTAGTAATTACTCTATTTGCTACATCCATCAACCATTTACTGATTATTCTTTGGATCAAAATACAAGGTACTGAGAGAGAAGGAATGAAAGGGAATCCTGTATAAATCTGTATTCAGGCAGAAAAAAAGAATCCTTGCTAGAAATTTCAAATAGAGGAGCTTCACTGCTCAAGATTGATTATAAAGGTGTTAGAAACTGTTAGTCTTATAGACTAGAGAAACAAATTCATAGACACTCATATGTGTATAAGAAAGAGCTCTATATACAAGAGCAGTTGAATATTGAGAAAACATCCTGGCCCAGTCCAAATCAAGTCCATAAGTCTGATATTAGCTCTTATGTCTGATACCAGACTCTTCAGACTCACAAAACAAATGCAATGATGCCGAATGCAGGAAGATCACAGGCCAGTGGGTGAAAAGTCTTGTGGACCCAGTGGCGGTAGAGGCATCCCAGCACTGGCAAGGGGTCTCCACGTGGTTTCTCCAGCTATACTCCACCCCTTCACTCTTAAGCCTCTCAAATTGATTATGTAACTACCACAGTATCCTAAAGAAAAAGAGTGAGAGATAGAGAAAATATTGAAATAGTCCAAATATTACTAACTGTTGGAAGAAGCTCCCATACCTAAGTCTGGAGAACCAAAGGATATGGGTCCCCGTAAGGGGGGACCTAAGGGTATGCTGCTACCACACAGTTGGTTCTAGAATCACTGAGAAGATGACAAACAACTGTAGAAAGGGTTTCTGTAATAATGCCATATGGTTCTTGAACCTCAAAGGGAGAGCCACATAGGTGGGACTGACCACTTTGGCGGGGCTGAGCTCTAAGGGAGTGGTTGGTGCTTCCAGCTCTGACATAACACCATGTGGCCAATGCTGGGATGATTAAAAGGAGCCGTGGAAACACAGGCAATCCCGGGCCGATGATCCATTCAGGACCAGTGGTGTGAGTGGCAAAACTGGGAGCGTAGAGGGAGAGTGGGTTGGAAACGTGGAACTGATTACAAGGATCTACATGTGCCCTCTTCTGGGAGATGGACAACAGAAAAGTGAAGGAAGGGAGACATCGGACAGGGCAAGAAATGACAAAATAATAATTTATAAATTATCAATTGTTCATGAGGGAGGGGGGAACGGGAAGGGAGGGGGAAAATGAGGACCCGATGCCAGGGGCTTAAGTGGAGAGGAAATGTTTTGAGAATGATGAAGGCAACAAATGTACAAATGTGCTTTACACAATTGATGTATGTATGGATTGTGATAAGAGTTGTATGAGCCCCTAATAAAACGATTTTTAAAAAAGAAAGTAAATGTCTAGAAGAGAATGAGGGGAGCATGTGTACAAGCATGCTTGATTCGATTGATGTATGGATTGTGATAAGAGTTGTACGAGCCTCCCATAAAATGATTTTTTTTAAAAAGAAAGAAAAATTTAAAAGCACCAGTGGGGAAAATAGCACATTACCTTCAGTGAATCAGTAAAGACTTACAGCTTACTTTTCAATAGAAAACAATGAAATCATATATTTAAAACACTTAAAGGAAATAACTGCCAGCCTCAAATTCTATACCCAGTAAAATTAAACTTCAAAAGTGAATGCATAGTAAAATCATCTTCAAAAGAATTAGTCATCATTAGAAATGTAATAAAACTATGTATATGATATATGCCAAGTTCAGTGCCATCAAGTTGATTTGACTCATAGTGACTCTATAAGACAAAGTACAATTGTCCTTTTGGGTTTTTGAGGCTATAAATCTTCACAGGAGCAGAAAGTCTAATTTTTGTCCCATGGAGTAACTGGTGAATTTGAAGTTATCACCATTTGGTTAGCAGTCCAACATATGGTGGCTATGCCACCAGGGTGTGTATGTTTATTTGTATGGGTATGTACGTGTATGGACATGGATATATAAATTCCATTTTTCAACAAACTATTGAAACCCACATATATGTCAATGAAACCTGAGAGCACAGCTAGTTAGTTATGTGTTGGGCTGTTAACCACAGACTGGTGAGTCAAGCTCACTGCCATTACATGGGAGAAAGATTTGGATTCCTGTTCCCATAGTCTCAGAAATCCTAAGAAACAGTTCTACTCTGGCCTGTACAGTCCCTGCTAATTGGAATTGACTTAACAACAGTGTTTTCATTTTGGATGGTGTGTGTGTGTGTGTAGTCTTGGTGGTAGAGTGGATACATATTGAGCTGCTAATTGCATGGTCAGCAGCTTGAAACTACCAACCGTTCCAGTTGACAAAGATGAGGCTTTCTATCCTGTAAACAGTTACAGTCTCCAAAACTATATATGTGTGTGCATGTGTGTATACAGCCATATATACATGCATGCACATATGAACATAAATATACATGTGTGCGTATATACATGCACGCATGAATTTATGTGTGTATATGTTTTACATGTATGAAAACACACAAATATAAATATATGTTTTGTGTGTATGCAAATATACTAATATAGTTATTGGGCATGTATGTACATTCATAAACATTTATGTGTGGATTCATATGTACATATATGTATATCTATATATTGTTATATATGAATTCACTGTCATCCAGTTGATTCTTTATCTCCCAGTGGTTGGTCATCTGGAACTCCTGACCTTTCAGTTAGCAGCCCCGTGAGTAACTCACTATACCACCAGGGCTCCTTCTAGAAAAGGCATCTCCTCATTTCGAAGAACAATGATTCCAGATAGAAGCATGGAATATGGAGGGATAAGAGAAAGAGAAGCAGCTCCAGGGGCATAGTGATTGATAGTCTCCTGCCGTCCAGGACCAGAGATTAGAACCCACCAGCTGCTCTGCCGGAGAAAGATGCGGCTAGCTGCCTCCTAAAAGATTTACAGTCTTGGAAACACTATAGGATAGCTCTACTCTGTCTTGCAGGGTTGTTATGAATCTGCAATGGGTTTGTTAAAGCGACAAGGAAATGGCAAATCTGAATGCATGTTGACTGAAAATGTAAAATAATAGCAAGAGTAATATTAGTATAATTCCTTATAAGGGTTCAAATATAAGTAGGACTAATATGCAGACAACTCTTAAAAAGGAATGGTGAAAAGGATTTAAATATTCTAAAGACCCTGAACTTTCCTGAAAGCAGTAAAAGTACAAATTTGTATTAAACTCTAATGTGTCAAAGATGCTTGGCTTCTAGGTAAACCTTAAAAGAACACTAAAGGATGCACAGATAATGAGGTAAGAGGTGAAAGACAATGGAATAATTGTATAGATATTTTTTCATGAAGAAGAGAGCCAGAAAGTACAGGGAAATTGTTAACACAGAACAGGATGGATAAAGAGAAAAATAATAAGATATTAGTCTTAAATTCAACGATAACAAAAGTTACATTAAATAGAAAATGATTCACTTTAAATAGACTAATTTCTAAAAAGAAAAAGAAAGCAAAAATATGTTGCTAATGTAGTCACACTTTAAATATAAGAACACCAAAATCTGAACACTAAGGAAATAAAAAAAGAAAAGATGGTTTACTCTATTTCTATCCAATCAAGTAGATATTAAGGTATGGAAAATTACTAGATATAAGAATAGTTCATTAAATGGTTTCATAAAGAGTCAATTCCCCAGGATATCATAACAAATCTAAATCTGCTTCACCTAGATAATGTCTTCTCCCATAGAGAATGCAATACTGGCAGAACTAAAAGGAGAAATAGGCAAACCTTTAACCTTTGGGGGAGAGTTCGATACACTTTCCCTATTGAGCGATCCGACGGCGGCAGACGGAGAGCCGTTGTGGAGTCTGACTCCTCTGACTTCATGTGTTTCAGAGTAGCGCTGTGTTTCATTGGCCACAGGACCGTTCCCTTTCAAAAGTGCTGCATGGATTTGAACTGCCTACATTTTCATTAGTAACTGAGTGCTTAACGGTGTGCCTTCCAAGGATCAGAACATGAGTTAAGATTTAAGCAATGTGATCAATGTAACTATAGGGATTTATATTAAAAGCCATTCTCTCTCTTGAGAATAAAGATCCAGATAGTCTATAAAAAAAAATAGTAGCAAACGATGAGTTATAGCAAATGCTCAAAAGAAAGCTAGACTCCATTTGTCATCGGGAAATGTAAATTAAAATCACCTTGAACCCAAAGATAGCAGACACTTCCCAAATGTTTGCTAAACTAATGAAAGAAAGAATGTTTCACATGTGGAAAATATCTGGATTTGCTCGGGGCCGTTGCTAACTGTGGAATCCACGGGTGGCACAAAGGCATACGCATTATACTACTAGACTAAAGGTCGGTGGTTCGAGCCCAGAGGCACCTCAGAGCACAGGCCTGCTGATCTGCTGTGGACAGCTCCCAGGCTTCCCCTCTCCCTGGAGCAGTTTTTCTCGGCACACACAGAGTCACCACGAGTCAGGATTGTCTTGATGGCAACGAACACACACGCAAAACACAATTCCTAACCCGGCCTGCGTTTGTTGTCGTAAAGAACAGACTCTCTTGTTGCCCCAGTCTTCTCATCTGTCAAAGTAGGATCATGCATGCCCCCACGGCTAGTCCTAAGCATGTGGGAGATGTCTGGCATTTAAGAGATAGTTAGCAGACATGATTCCTTCTCACAAAGGCGTCATTCAGTAGACCCCATGAGGCCAGACGCTTTTATTTAAATCAACTTTTTCTCCACTCTGGCTTCACTTTAAAAACACCTAGGGAGTTGTTTAAAAGTACTGACTGGGTTTCTACCCCTGGGAGATTCCGATTTAATTGGTCTACTGCGAGGCCTGAGCAGTGGCAATTTTTAAAGCTCCCCAGGTGGGTCTAATGTGCAACCAGCGCTGAAGACCCCGGATTTCAAGTCATTAGCTGCCATGCAGGGGGAGGGCTGCCTGTGTAGCCACCAGAGTCCACTGGAAGCCCTGTAAAACCTGGCCCTTCCCACACCTGGAAAACTCTAGAAGCCAGCTTGGCATATTTCCTTCAGTACAAATCTTCAACTGGCAGACTAGACAGATGGTTATTATTTATCCTTCCTGCTGTGTGAGAAAGGAAAAAAAAGAATTAGCTCTGCCTCAGTTGGGATTTTCAAACAATTCCTACATGTGCGAACGATTACCGTTTTATATGTTTATAGGTATTAGGGAGGGGAGAGGGAAGTTTAAACGAGACCAGGAGGACTTGCATGCATTTTCTCTTCATTGAGCTTTTTGAAGTTGAGGCAGTAAAGAGAACTGGGCTGCAACAAGATCTGGTTCTAGATCTTCTTTTAAAAGGGATCATGTATGTGAAGAGTGCCCAGCAAGATGCCCGGCTCGTTGTCATGGATGCCAAGTCTGCTCCATTGGGGGAGCTAGAGTTTGCTTAATACACTAGGACCAGTATGGAGCATTTTCTCCGTGTCATAAATATTTTATGCGTTTCTTTTTCCACTTTATTCCCACAATGTTCCTGTACATGACTGGCAGTATCTCCTTTCCACACAGGACAAAATTCCCACCTGGGGGGAATGGGGAACAGGAGAGCAATGGAAACTAGCCTTCAGGTCTATCGGACACCAGCAGTCATCGTCCCGCCCTTTGCCATTTATGCTGCTAGAATCCATTAACTCTCAAATTCTGGGCCTCTGAGTAACTTGAGCCTTTTTGTCACCCACAATAAACAAGAAATCTTTGTTTGTTTTTTAGCATATGGGGTGAAAGCAGCAGGGATCCGTGCTACTAGGTGATGTTTGATTCCCAGGACAACTTAGATTTTGGCTAATTCGCTAAGGTCTGTCTCAAAGGGGCTGCTCTAACCGGCAGCCATTGTGATCTCCATCAGTGACTATGATGACTCACTAGGGTTTCCTCCATATATAGCACCTGTATTAGGTGGGGGGGGGGGGTGTTTCATGAAACACTCTGTCCTTCTCTAGAGATTGATCTTTCCTCGCCTTGTATCCAAAGTAAGTGAGCCAAAGAAAGTCTCACCATCCTCGCTTCTCAGGAGTCCATGTTCTTTAAGATCATTTGTAATTGAAGAATGACTTGCAGTGGTTATTTAACACCAACCTCCCCTGCGTGAGCTCAGTCAGGTCAGGAACCCTGTCTTTCTCCTTCACCAGTGTATCCTCACCCCCTTACACAGTTCCAAACACATAACAGAGTCTCAAGATATTTTTGCCTGACTGTATAAGAAGGGACCAGATTGAATGTGGTAAAGGAAAATTGCTTGGGGGTGGCTCTTCTGTCCGTGGTCTTTGTAACTTCCACCAAATGATTGGGTGACACCATGAGAGCAGGGTATGAGACCCTTTAATCGGGGGAATTTGTCAATTATCTTAGAAACAGGTACAGAAATACCTACTCCCATCAAGAAAGAAGAGCCACAGCAGAGCACACGTAAGATGCCGACAGGGGCAGAGAGGTACCAGAGGCTGCGGCACTGAGCGCTGAGGAGCAGCTGCAGACACTACCAGACAGACTGGTGTGATTCCCAGGAGTATAGCTGAGTGCCTTCTGGAAAGTGACTGGCTTGCAGAGCGTGCTGCCCTGTGGGCACTTGTAACACTTGCCTAAGCAGGGCTCAGGCCAGGGGGCCACAGGGCTATATGGCCCAGGACCAAAGAAAGACATGCCTGTCAGCATGGCTGAGAAGAGATGCTGTTGACCAGAGAGCTGTATTTTTTCTATTTTGTCATCTGAGTGCCTGTAAACGCACCCTGATGTTGTTTGTGAGCTCTGTGCGGTCATTGCAATGGCTTGTTAAACGCAATGGAGAAGTGAAGTGTCATGGGAGGGATGGTTGGTATCAAAAGAGGGTTGAGAAGGATGCAAAGTGGAGGCACGTCTGACCTCTGCCTCATATGAATCGTCCTTGAACAGATAGGGATTTTGATTTCCCTTCCCCCACGTGTAGCTAAAGGAGGTCAGATATAACCCCCATGCCATGTCTTCCCTAAACAATTCCATTTTTTCTTTCTTATTCAGGAAAGAAGGGGGAGGAAGTCCCAGCCACCCCAGCGGAACCTGAAGTCCCTGAGCTCCCTGAAAGCAAAGTTGAACATGTGGTATGCACCTGGACAGATAGGACTTGGGGAAGGCCCTCAGAGATAACTGGGCCTCCTATTCTCCAAGGCTCGGGGGAATCCTCCCCTCTGGGTGTTTGGTTCTCATCTAGCCACTCTATGCAGACTGATTTTGACTTCAAGACTCTCCCAGGGCAGAGAGCGGAGGCAGTGGAAGCCTCCTGGTGTATGGCACTCACTGCTGGCTATAGGGCCTGCCATCTGCCCCAGGCAAGGGCCCAGTGTCATCTATGTGGGTGTCCTTCCAAATCCCGTGGCAAATCCATCCATTGCCATCAAAAATAAAAGCTTGTGTGAGATGGGTTTCGACATCTTAAATTCAGCTTCTAGAAACCAAGGGTGACCTTTCTCCCAGACATCACACTTTTAAATGTAATGGGCTCTTTAATTAAAACAAAACAAAACAAAACAAAAAAACCCTGGCAAGTCTTTGAAATTTGTTTTTAATATTTCCAGCACTCAGCCAAGAGAAAATGCAGGCAGAATTGAAAAACAGCCTGAGTTTCTCTGTTGTTATTGTTTTTTTTGAATACCCGGATTAGAACATAATGCTTCTTAAATGATGGGCGGCCTCTCCATGCACTTCACACTTTGAAATATTTTAGAAAATAGTCTCCATTTTGGCAGGCCTCTTGCCACGCAAGAAACAACAGCAACTGCTTCTCTCCTTGAGTGTTAAGTCTGTTGTGAATAAGATTATAAAAAGAAAAAAATACTTTGCTCTTTTATTTCGCCCCTTGTTTGAGGTTATTACTGTGTCTCTGTGATGATGGATTCTTCTCACACTCATTGTCCCACTTTTTCAGAGAGGGACATTGAAGCAGGTGATTGATAAAGCAACTGTCCTGCTGTCCAGTTTACTTTGTCAGTAAACACGTCTTGAGAAATCACTAGAGGTCAGCCACTAACCACATGCTGGGACATATTAAGGATTCACTAACAGATCTCTGGTGGGGGAAACAAATCTGCAAAGAAACCTCCTTTGCCTAGTCTGTGGCTGGCAGGAAAGGCTTTGCACAAGAACTAAAATATGAGCTGGGTCTTGAAGGATGTGTAGGAGCTCAACGAATCAAGGAAGAGATGGCCAAGGGTTTAATAATAGAGAAAGCAATGTGTGTGCAGATCTTTTTCTTTGGTTTTATTTCTGAATATGGCATGGTTTTACCTAGCTAGAGACAAAATGTGTAAGTATTACTGAATACAAGAATTACTGAATTAAGAATACAAGACTGGGATGACATGCAAGAATGAGAATACAAATGTTCCTACTTGCCAAACAAGGAATTTAGACTTCATCCTGACACAATGGTAACAGAATATTGTCATGTGTTTAGTTTGTCAAAGAGTCCTGGGGGAGCGATCAGGTAAAAATGTTAGACTGCTAATCACAAGATCAGCGGCTCAAACCCACGAGTCATTCCAGGAAAGAAAGAGGGGATTGTCGGCTCCTATAAAGATTCACAGCCTTGGAGACACGACATGGGGTTGTGATGAGTCAGAATCCACTTGCTAGCAGTGAGTTAGTTGAACCTAAATCAGATACACACAAACCCCATTCTCTTGTCTTTTGAGATTAAAGGGAATATTATCTGCTACGTTGTAAAACTGTCTCAAATAGAATTTTCTAAAATAACACGCCAAAACATTTGCAAGTGCACATTTACCTGGAAAGACTATCTAAAGCTGTCATCAGATTTCCAAAGCGATCCAAAGCTCTAAAACTATATAAGAACCATTATTCTAATTTACTACATGATGACTTTCTGCTCTTCCCCAAATGTATTTTACCAGAGTAATATTAGTGTATATTAATCCCTTAAAATGCATTAGTTGTTGGTTATCTATGTAGGTGCAATATCCTAAAGCATTAGCTTATTCCAAACAAAATGCATTTTTTCTTCATATTTCCCAGCTGCAATTTAATCCTCATTTGTTAACTAGCTTAAAATTTGGCTTCTCATTGCAATTAATATTCTTTAAATGTATGGGAATCTTACAGTTTGTACATGAGAAATTTAAGAGAAAGTTAACCACGTTGGAGAGATGTGGCCACTTGAAAGTTGGTGGAGTGTGATGGTTTATAAAAGTTCCAGGAATAATACTATGATCTGTAAGTTATTAGCATTTGGATTGCAATTGCACTGAATTAGCAGAATCAACTCTACTAGAGTTAGGTGATTGGAAGTTGCCACCCTGTTGATTCTGACACACGGAAGCCCACATGGTGCAGCATAGAATTGTTTCCTATAGGATTTTCAGTGGCTCTAATACTTTGAAACAAATCACCAAGCCTTTCTTCTGAAGTCTCCCTGGTGAGTTAGTTAGATCCGTCCCCATGAGGGAACATCTCCTAGAGGACAGAAATTCAAGAGTGAACTAAAACCAAGGACCACGGGGGTCTCCGATAGCTCCTCCCTTCTTGTTATGGTCAGCTTCATATTCCTTTTCCCAATCTCTCAGAAAACCAGCCTCGTCTCATTTGCAGTACACAAAGTAGAAAAGCTGTTGGAGTGTTGGCCTCTCACACAGAGAAGGAGAATGAGAATCCATGTCTCTATTTTTCTGGCATTATCGCTCACAAATATTTCCAAAATTCAAGTACAATGGACTTGTCGACCCATTTTGTTTAGATTCCCCGGTCTGAAATAAGTATTTACAGCATGGCAGTTCCCTCAACCAACATGTGCCTCAGCAAGAGGGCCGTTCCTGGAAAAGCGATGCTAAATCGATAAAACAAGTTGTCCACTGTCTCTACAGGATAGGTGGCAGAGTGCCTCATGTGACATCCAGCAGAGATTCAGGAGTCTACTTATTCTTAAGAAACAAACAAACAAAAACACTTATCGTGCCTCTGTTATGTAAAGACCAAGATGAATTGGAAATGATCTATACCCCATAGGGTCTTTGGCTTCCAGCCAGTGTTAACTAAGTACCCCACTGGCAATTAAAGACATGTGTTCCATAGCCCACCATCCAGGATAAGAATCCAAGTATCTGCTCTTACAGCCTCCCTGTCATTCACGCTCCACCCCCAACCTGCCATGGATTGTCCCAGTGCATCTGGGGTCTGGAGTCACGCACTTAAGTAAACACTGGTGTGCTCTGTGAGATTCTAGTCCTTGTCTTCCATTGACTGTGTGATGTTGGTAACTCACGTCCACTCTCTGGGCCTCAACTTCCCTTTGTTAAGATGAACAGGTCAGACAGAACTAACAATGCATTCACGACCCTTTATATGAGCTTACGAGATGGGGATAACATCACTATTGTTTATTCACTCTTTGGAAAGAATCTCATCCTCATGATCCACAGGTTTGCTCCCCAAGAAATTTATAAACACTGCCTGAAGTCCATGTCCTATAAATCCTACTAGTGCGGAAAAAGGGTAGACCATCATGAAATGTCTCCATCGGTCACCAATTATCTTGTGTAAGTTACGCAAGTCAGAAATGAGAACTAAATTAACAACCTGATTGCAACCTTTCCAAAACAAAACTCAACACAGTAGTTTCTATCCAGCCACACTTGGCAGATAAGGTCCTATTGCTCTGAGGATTTGAACCACATCCTCCCAGCTTCGCAAAGCCAGACCTTGCAATAAATCCTGCTAGCTGTGTGGCCTCGTCTTTGGCCAGAAACCTGGAGAAGCTCTGGGTGGTGGTTGCATGTCACTGCCAGTGAAATGCGTGTGTTGTTTTGGTAGAAAAACCCAGATGAGGAGCTTCAGCCAGAAAGTCCCCCTGCGGAGACCTTGAAGATCAGAGCAGTGTCCCAGCCTTTTGTGGATCTCATCAGGAAGAATGAGTCTGAAGAATGTGAGACATGGATAGATAGGTTCAGGAAGCTTGAAAACGCACTCTACTTGTGTGATCTGAGTAACACAGGTGAAGTATAAACTCTACAACTGGCATGGCTTTCTTTTTGTGTTGTAATCTAAAAGTAGATAGCGCATGGTTTATTTTTTTAGTTGTTGACTAAACACAGCTCATCTATAAGCCATGTGCCTGGCACTGCATAAAATACAAAAAGGAAAGACAATGCTGAATGCAACATGAATCCTCCCCCCAAGTTGCTTCCACTATCTTTACCTCCTTTTTAAAATCCTCCTTCCATGCTACTGCTTGTGTCTAGTCCACAATTAAATCTTCCAGTTCCTCTAATGAAAATGCTGCATGAACAGCCTACTGTAAATAAGGATGAACCCTTTCTTAAGGCAAAATCTGTTTCCTATCTCTCTGATCAATCTCTTTTCTTGTTATCGCTCTTCTCTCTGTAGACCCTGCACAGCCGCGATGAATAGCTCGCCTGGCTGCAAATGTACCTAGCCTTCTCATGTGTCTGTGCCTTTCCTCACCCCAGCTCCCCAGCTAATGGGGCTGCCTCTCTATCCTCCGCCTCACCCACCCCCTGCCACCTCTCCGTTTCGTCCACCTGGCTAATTAATGTCTAAGCATCATTTATGTTTGAACTCAAGCCCTGCTTTTCTGAGTCTCCCTTGATTACCCTAGAGAGATTTATGCCAGCCTTCATCTGGCCTCTTCTCTTCCTTTAACATCCATGATTGTATGTGATGACTTTTTTTTTTAATTTGGAAGTTTAGTACTACCTCGACCATGTGTAGTTGTTTGCTTATTTGTTTGTTTTCATCTCAAAGACCTTGAACAATTCTACCCTACATTTTTCAGGGAATAAATGAATGTAGATTTTTTAAAATCTAAGACAAAGGCTGATTAATGCCTTTTGAGTGTATGTGCTGTGTGGACTTTTCATGTAAGGAAATTCTTTCCTGGTAGGGTGATTAATGGGAGAAGGCTATACTAATATTAAATTGATCATTAAAGGTAAACTGCAGTTTATATACACACACAGAAGTGAGCTAGAGAGACCTTTTTGTCAAGGAGTGAAGTTAGTTAAGCAGAGCGTTGTATATATGAGCTCAATTCAAAGAGTTCTGTTTGGATAGACTATAGGGCTCTTAAGAAGAATATTAAATGTTAGATTTGGAAATACAGGATAGAGGTATATCTTGAGAAATCTTAAATGCCAGACCAGAGAATTTGGACTTAACTGAGAGTTTCCAAGCAGAAAAAAAAAATACATGACGAAGCTGTACTTCTGTAATGACAGGATACAACATATGAAGGAGCCAATGGAGACAGTAGAAGAGAAAGGGAGGTACTGTAATGCCCACGTGAGAGAGAACAGAGTACCAGCTCGGTTATAGTCCTGGAGAATGGAGAGCAGGGGCAGGGGCAGAAGTACATGGACTGAGGCTGTCGTGATGAATCAGATACTATGGCCCATGAATAGTCAGTCTACTCGTTCTCCTTTCCAGTCCTCTCCACAGGAAGCAGGCGTGTAACTATAGTAATGTATGTCTTGTCATTTACAGTGTGTGTGTTTGTTTCCCTTTTTTATTTTGAGTTGCTTTGGATTTCCAAGATAACTCAATTCTAGACCACATGATGTATAGGTATTAGATCAAAAAGCTTTTAATGATTATGTCAAAGTCAAAAAACTCCCTGCCAACCCAATGGGACAAGGTAGAACTGCCCTGTGAGTTTCTGAGACTGACACTGTCGATGGGAGTAGAAAGCCCTGACTTTCTCTCAAGGAGCAGCTGGTGCTTTGGAACCGCTGACGTTGCAGTATGCAGTCCAGTGTGCAATCACTATGCCACCAGGGCTCTTGTATCAGAAAGGGAAGGGAAACCCCTACAAAAGGGAGTGAAAAAACGTATCTCGCCTGAATCAGATAGGCTGCGTTAACTGTGTGTTAGAGCGTAGCAATATGCTAGGGGCTGGACCAGCAGTGAAAGCAGAAAAACAATGAGCCAGATAGGGTCGATGGACTCTTCTTAAAAGCTTGCAGTCACTTTGGATATGACATCGAGACTGTCAATAGTTCAATGTCAGTTTGAAAACAGAAAAGACACACAGACAGAAAAAAGACATTTCATAACTGAAGAGATGAAGGAGTGCCGAGCCCGGAGAAGTCCACTGGCTAATGTGGGCTGGGGTATTCCGAAAAGTCTTCATGGACGTGGAAGAATGTGAGCTGGCCCTGAAGGAGAAGTCCACTTTGCATAGTAGGCCAGGGCATTTGCATAGTTGGGCCGCCATCTGCTGTAAAGATTAGAAGGTAGAGCTATGTAAGACGGGAAGAGAGTACACAAGGACTCGAAGCTTATGTTGTATTAACAAAATAAAAAACGAATTCACTGCCAACAAGATTGTTCCGTCTCACAGAAATCCTAAATGGCGATATCGAGACCCTATTATGAATCATAAAAACTAAGATTGGACATTAATCTCTACCAGGTTTTCTTTAAAGATTCAGCCAGAGGAGAACATAATGGACGCTGAGATGGGTTATTTGAAGGAGAGACTAGGGGAAAGGAGATAAATAAGTTATTGAAATAACCTTGTATCTAGATATTTATATCAAGACTCTGAGATAGGAGAGTAGTGATACATTTTCATGACCCCTCGCCCCCCTAAAAACGAAAGAGAAGGAGACAGAAAAGACATCTTTAGAACAATGATGAGGCATGTTGGTGGTTAATGGATCATAAAACTCCATTGCTAAGAGACTCCCTGAAGACTGGGACTTTTCTCAACCATGTGAACTGTTCTGAGGAAAAAGAATTTTGTTGACTTTGGAAGTAGATTCCATTATATTTGGAATGTCTTCCCTATGATCTCCTCACTATTTATGCTTGTTTTCTCTGTTTCTATGAGATTCATTAGACCTTAACAGCCAAAATGTGTCAGCTAGATCCGGTAATGTCTATAACCGTTTTAACGAGGAAAGGGGATTAACTGAGATCATTTTGCTGGTTTATTAACCACAGTGTTTAGAGCACTAGCAGGGCCCATGCTAGTGAGGAACAGATGATCCCTACTCTGCCACTGATGAATCACTGCCCTTATTATGTGTGAAGAAATAGGTAGGCCAGAGTGTTCTGATCCAGGGTGCAGGCAGATCGTCATCAATCAGTATTTCTGGGAACCAGCTCTGTGCATATCCTCAGATGAGAGTGGTCAAGTAAACAGCCTCAGGAGAGGGGAAAGGATTTCTAAAGAAAGAAGACTGGCTGGGATCAATATTTAGGTGGACTTGAAATGTTTCCCAAGAACTAAAGGCTAAATAGAAAAAAGTACTTCAGAGCTCAGGAAGAGTCCACCAATATTCAAGACCCAAAGCTGATGTTCTCCCGGCCCCTTCTCCCAAGTATGCAACAAGACCCAAGAGTTAAGAAAGGATCAAATGAGATAAGAAGTTTGAAATGTTTTATAAACTGTGAAATGAAGTGGATGTTCAAGAGATGCATGCTACCTTTGTTTTATTCTGGCTCCGAGGGCAAAAGGACAGGCTTTGTAATACGAAGATGGACTGTAAGGGTGGGGGGGGGGTGATGCAGCTGTTCTGGGCATCCCCTACTGACAGAGAAAATTGGACAGATAGAAATTTTAATCAGTGATCTTACGTTCGAAACTCGGACTCCTCTGCCTGTGGGAAAGTTAGAACACAGTAGAAGATGCCTGCCCAGTGGTGATCCCTTGATGTATTTTTCAAAATTGCTCTGCATTTTTACTTAATGTATAATGAAAATGTCAGGAATTTTAATAATGTATTATTAAAATGCAGATTCTATTTTAAGAAATATTGATAACATAATTATTTTAAATGTCCTATAATAATACCTGCCTTTAGTGAGTGTTTACTAATACTGAACACTATGCTAAGCACTTAATATAATAATTTGCATACCATTTCATTGTCCCTATTTTGCACTTGAGGAAACTGAGGCTCAGAAAGGTGGAGTACAGTTCCCAAAGTCTTACAGTCAGAAATTTATTCCAAAGCTCATGATTATATTTCCAGAGGTAAGGTTTGGGGAAATGCCCAGAAGTCTCACATCTAGGAAGGACTGAGAGCAGTCGCCCAACCCAAAGAACTTAAAAGATGCACAAGCTGGTCAGCTTGAAAGAAGAGGACTTATATGGAAGAAAGGGTCAACAGTTTAGTTAGTAAAATAAACTGAAAAAAAAAAACAGGTAAGGTAGGTAGGGTAGGGTAGGATAGGAGGCCTGGTAGCTAAATTCTGAGCTGTTAACTGAAAGACTGGCAGTTTGAACCCATCAGCAGCTGTGGCAGAAAGGTGTAGCCATCCCGCTTTCTCCTACAGGGCTGCCATGAGACAGAATGCACTTGACAGCAACGGGGATAGGAGAGGATAAAAATGAGGATTCCACCGGTACACAGCCCACTGTTAAATATACCCATTAAAGGGAAGTTCAGAGGGGGCGGGGGGACATCGAGCCCAAGTCTTTGCACACTAAAATGCAAATCATTCTTGGTTCCCTAGACAGAGAAGGCAAGGTCCACCTCAAAGGAATTAGTAGTGCCTTTCTACAAAATGGCCAAGGGATCCCCTCTGGATTCTTAGAGAAGAAAAAAATATTGCAATGACTATTAACATTTGTATGGATACAGGAGGAAAGAAGAGCATCATCCCAACAATATACATTTCATTACTGTAAAAGACATTGCAAAGCTTTTGTTGACTTCTAGAGCCTAGACCTCCATATGAAATTCAAGGAACAAGTGCGGGGTGGGGGGGTGGGGGGGTACTGGGAGAAATAGGATCATTATTTTTGCTATCTCTTTCTCCCTCATTCTTTGTTGCAGTGGCTAAATGCACGGACTTGAACAACCTTGAGCATGTGTCAAGTGTCTTACTCTGTAAAATGAGTTTATATAGAATGCGTTCATCTTGGTAAAATGCTTGGAGCAATGCCTGGAATGTAATACAATTTATATCAGCATAAACTATTCTTGTTATTGCACAACGGTTAATTTTCTGCAGTTCTCAGCTTCCCAACTGGTGAAGGGCTTCCTAGGGTTACAAACCATTTCTTTGATTCCTTATATTCTCTCTTTACATATATGGAATATATATATATATATTCCCAAGTATAGTATAAATCCATAACGTGGAACTTACGGAGGAGTTCTTGATTTTCGCATATGCAGTAATCTGCACTTAGACTCTTGGTTGATATGGGAATCTTCCTAACCTCGACATCAGAAAAGGCAATGTTTGCTAGCAGATTGCTATTCGTACTTAGTATGTAGAAAGGGCAAGCACCTCTATGTACCTACCCTTTGATGATAAGGCACACCAGCTCTATTACACAGATTCAGGATCCAAGCCCCAAGAAGTTATCTGATTCACCTGCCGCCACAGCAAGCAGGAGTCACAGCAAACACATTTCCAGAAGTGCATTTAAAATGAACTATTTAAATCTTGCACGTTTATCCACATGTTTGCCTACCGCAACAAGATGCAAATAAACCAGAACAATTAGAAATTGTTTTTAGCAGGCACCCACCTGTTTTCAAAAGCAGCCTTTAAGGTTTTAATGGCTCAGAGAACCAGCTTAAATAGCTTTAGAATTGATCTACAGATTTCATTGCCCCTCTGCCCCCAAACCACCCCCAGAGCCTCCTGAAATGTATATATATATATTCAGGACTGTAAATAGGACTTTTAGGGTGCTGCCTGAATTTTTAAACATAAATTGTATAAACATGACCATTTGAGTATTTACTTGGCTGTCATTCAACAAGCTCACCGGGTTTCTAACACTTGCTTTCTCTTTCCGCTTTCAAAACCTCCCACCCACCCCCACCCCCCAATCGCAGGACTCCTGGAGAAGGAACGAGCCAGACGCCTCATTCACAACTACAACCTCCTTTACAACCTGTCGCTGAGCCCTCTGAAAATCGACCAGGCTTTGCGGAGATTTCGCTTGGGAGAAAATATGCTGTTGGAGCCAGCCCTGCGGTACTTAAAAGAGCTATGATAACAAGCCCCTATTGTGTGAACAGATGCTTCACTTATCTCCCTTTTTACCCAGACACGTGTTTCTCAGGCCAGCAGGGTCGCGTAGGGGTGGAGGCATTGTCAGAATAGATGCTCTTGACTTGGAATTGGTTTCTGGCTATGAGGTTGGCTCATGAGATGCTTGGAGTGAGCAGAGGAAACAAGGTTTCCAATATGCAAAAGCCCAAATACATGAAACCCCTTCTATTTTAATAAGGCTGATTATTATTGCTTTTACCCTCACACAGGGCTAATCAAGCTGTTTTTCTGTAAACTCTAACACTCCATAGAGTAAAAACCATACTAGATAAACTCACCAAAGTGTCTAGCTTTGTATGTAGTAGGCCTACATACATTGCTCTTGGCTAAGTAAGAAAGCCTTGCTCCTAATTTCCATTCCAAGAGGGATTTCTCATTATAAAGGAAATACACAGAGTAACAATATATTACTTTAATGTCACAGAATAGAAGCAGAATTATATATAAGAGTTTCTCCGGGGAAATTTTCTAAAAGTACTAGTTCAAGGTTTTTAAGGATTCTTTACTTCCTTGGATCAGGAAATCCAGGCACAACATCATGCATGTCCTCAGAGATCTTCTGTCTTTAAGGTCCTCCCCCATCTTGCTCCTCCCACACAGTGCCGAGTTATTCGTGCATGGGGCCATACAGGTGGTATGCGTGTGCGGGTTGAAGTTACATTTGCCTGGAGTTACAGAGGCAAAGGTGGCCCCAGCACCATCACTAACACTGGATGACCTGCATACTGACTTTCAAACTGGTATGGAAGTTAGAATGAAGGAGTTAGTCAAAAGAAAAATCAAACTGAAAGTAAAATCATTTTATAGAGTAAAATGTCGCATGAAAGCATATGGAATAAAGGAAAAGCAAAACATCGTAAGAACAAAATTGTTTGAGGACACAGGAACACATTATCTGTAGCATCTTCTAGGAGTCCTGGTGACACAGTAGTGAAGCACTTCATTGTGAACTGAAAGGTTGGCATTTTGAACCCACCTGGTGACCCCATTGGAGAAACACCCAACAATCTAGTTCCATAAAGATTCCAGCCTAGAAAATCCCAAGGGGGAAGTTCTACTCCGTCTCATAGGGTTTCTATGATTTAAAAACCCCTTGATACCACCTACAAAAAACAAAGTTCTGAAACCCTTAATTTATCATCCAGGATAAACACCTCTTTAGGTAAACTGGCTTAGGCCCCCCCCCCCATCATCCTAGAATGCCCCAAACATTCTAAACACAAGTCTAATAAATTAAACACAAGTCTAATAAGACATGGATTCTTCATTCCACCAACATATAAAATGGGGAAAATTGGAAAAGTTGATCCAAAATGTAATACATACCAACAGCTACGTTATTGCTTGGAAGTTGAGCTGTTTTATCCAACAGTGACGATTCTAAAAAACCAAGTCCTTTCAACAGATAGGGAAAATGAGGTTCAGAGAAGAGAATTGCAAGAAAGCTGTTGGGTTGTTCAATTAATAATTAACCAGAAGGATAGGTTCTCAAAAGGTTCTAGTTAGCTGGCTCTGAGCCCTGAGGATGCTCTGGTGGCCACACATGGGCTGTAGAGGGAGTTTCTATATTAAGAGGCCCTAGATATGAAGAGGAGATTATTAGAGTACATCACGAGGTCCTGAAAGACAACAATTTTATCTTGCTAATTTCTTTATATTCACCATCAGTATAGTCCTTGATAGGTAGCTTCAGCACTCACAAATTACATTAATGATGGGGACCTTATTTACACAGAATACAGCATGATCGTTTCCCCTGAAGCTGTGTGACCACAGGACATGTGTGACCTGTATTCTGACATACAGAATACCTCTAGAGTAAGGCAATCATGGTCAGGTCTCAAGCCACAGTAACATCCCAGACATACATACACAACATTATTTCTATGGAGAGTAGAAGAAGATTAGGCTTGAAAAGCAGCCGAAATCCAACCCTGGCGCTTAAGGGGGCTGTAGCCTTGAAAAGTTCCCAAATCTCCCAGGGCTTCATTTCCTTCACCTTTAAAATAGGAGCACCTATCTCCCCTCTATTTCACAGGAAAGTTATGAGTGCTGAAAGCAGCACCATTTGGATGTATTTGAGGAGTACTTTGCTTCCGTGACTTTCCCTAGCTGTAAGCATTGGGGTAGCTTCAAAATAAATAAATGAATAAATAAATAAAACCTTTGAACAATGGCCTGTGTGGGATGACATTACCACAGTAAAAACAAATTTTAAGGTGATCTGCCTTCTATAGCAAGTGACAAATGCCTTTGGGTTTTGTTTTTCTATTTTGTTTTTTGCCTGGATGTCTTCACTGCTTTCCCCAGCAAAACTGTGTGTGTTCATTTCCAAGACTAGTGCATTGCTAAAGTAAATACTCATTAGCTTTTCTCTGGGTCAATATTAAAAGAAACAAAATTCGCCTAAAGTCAGAGAGAAAACTTCGTCATCAATGTGACAATGTGAAAGTAGACATTGCATGAAACCTGGCTGTGAAACAAGAAAGTGGAATGAAGCGTAAGTAGGGCTTGCCTGTACTTCGGTGTATCCTGATGACCTCTTTGCTGAGACTTCTTGGTTTGCTTATAGAAAATCTCATTCGTTTCCCTCAGATCAGTGATATTCTATGGGCTCATAATGTATCAGTGAGGACGAATAAACACTGAGCCAAGCAAGCACTGTGTCTATGGTCTTGAAGTTTTCTCCAGCAAACTCTTCATAAATGGTGCCTGTCTGCCAATGATTGGTGATCCTTCAATATGCCCTGGAGAGACGTGATGGGTACTGTGGCTGCCCTAGCTTCTCAAAGTCTGGGTCTCCGCAGATTGTAAGAGGCCTGAAGGCTTAACTAATGCTGGATCTCAGCTGCTGGGCAGGTTCCTTTCTGGCTGCGTGATCCTGAACAATTCACTAACCTTTTCTGCTTTGATACTGCATACGTCATGGAGTCATTCATGTGAAATGAGACAATGTGTGAAAATGGTCCAGCACCATGCATGGCACTAGACAGGCTCCAAAGGGGCACTAGATTGTTTCTTTATTCTTATATAGTATTTCACTTTACCTGATTCAGTAGGTCAAATCGTTGAGTGTCTTCATCGGGTCCAGATATAACTTGCAGCCAATAGTTGGCTCACTATAAGGTCCTGGCAGACAGAGACCACGTCTTTCAGGTTCCCGTTCCTCCTCTCTCTTACACTAACTCCTCACAATAAACCAGCTCAAAGGGCCCCGCTTCCCCATTATAGAGGTTCTTGCCTAATGACCTAGAGCTATTGAGCGAGTGAAGCAGGATTTGAACCTGCTGCATAAGAAGCAGGTAGCACAGAAACAACAAGCAACCCACTCAATTATCTTTACTATGTAAGGTGGGTCTTCTCCACAAGTCTAGAGGTAACTCCAAGGTCCTTCTCCTCTTTGGCTTCAACACAGAGTCCCGATGCACCAGCAAGTGGGCTCTGGTAAATGCTGTTGAATGGAGCTCCGCCTGAACATTTCAGGGGAAACCACAGCTTTCTGCTTCTTCTAGCTCTCCCAGCTTCATCGCTGCCTACTGGGCACTATAATAAAGCGTGTTTTCAGGTCTCTTTGACATGGGGCGTTCACACAACCAGAAGCATGTCTGTAGCGATGGTGCTGTCCAAAGAATTTACTAAGTGCTCCCTGACTCCTCGGAGGAATTCCCCAAGATCATTAAGAGAAACCAAGCCAGGATTTGATATTCTAATTGGGATCAGAAATTGGACAGCCTCGGAGCTGGCCAGAGAACTGTGAAGCTCTGAAGACAAATGCTGCTCTTTCTTCTCTCGCGCTCCTTGCTGCCGCCTCTTGCGAGAGCCTTTCGGCTACAGTCCAGATGCTCCTCAGCAACAAAGCAGGGTGCCCAGAGTCCAGCCAGGGTGCCTCCGGAATGCCAGCATCCCCCTCATTAGCATACAGGGCCATCATCTGCCTACACAGTGGACTGTGGGACTGTGCAAAAGGCAACGTCTTAGGGAGGCCCAGCATTCAGCACAGCCTGTTGGGGACGTGAGAAGCCTCCACAAAGAGTTTCCAAACAAAGAGCACCAATATTATTTGTGGAGCCATCAGACTGCCTGGGGCACAATATGGCTCTGCCTCGGCCAAATGTGCTCTCCCTGGTCTCAACGGAAGGCGTGTTGGGGCCTCAGCAGACAGTTCTCGGCCTCAGTTGCAAGCGTTGGTGACCATCCTCCCACCTCTCTCCTGCCCAATCTCTCTTCAGCCTCTGTTGGTCCAGATTGTACAATGCGTGGATGACAAGCAGCAATGGGAGGGCTACCTAGAGGAAGGGGATGACTGAGGGTAAATGGTCAGATGGCAGGATAATCCTGAGCAGATGGTGCTGCTGGGAAAGGATTCCAGATTGAATTCACAAGCAGATTGTTTTCTGACAAAGGCCTAGTGAGACTGCCTTGGTGGAGAGCAATTGGTGCTTTGTACCAAACTCTTGCTAAAACTCACACACAGCACTCTCCTACAGTCTTTCACATTTACATGAGAGAGACACTTAACTTAGATTCTGTTTTGCCAAGGGAAACCTCTGGGATGTATCTTCAGGGAAACAATGACCAAGATGCTGGTAGAACCAACCTTAAAGAGAATTTCCTTCACCCTCCATGCTTAATCACCCTCAGAGATGGGGAATCTCACTAACTGTCAGCTTTTCTTTGTCTGATGACTCCAATTTGTTCATCCAAAATCTGTCTGCCTTTAATCTCTTTTCTCCTTCCCTCGGGACCAAGGGAATATAAATGTTGATCAATTGCTGCAATAATAAAACACTACTATTGCTCCTGGTCCATTCAAGCACTGGGGCTTAAAAACAAAGCAAAACAAAACATGTCTCTCTGCTACAGAATGGTCTAGGTTTGGGGAGTGAATTAAAGAAGAGAATGTATAGGACAGGAGAGAAAATTATATTTGTCTACAGCTTA